AGATGCACCTGCCAAGCATTGCTGGATGTTTCAGTGATTTTTGCTTGGAAGAAGAGATCCTAGGTCAAAGCTTAGTACTTTAATAAGTTTTGTTTGTTTGTTTGTTTGTTTATTTACTTATTGTGACTGCTCTTGTCACTTTTACCCAATTCACCCAAGTCCTTTATCTTTAGGAAAAAGATAGGCTCTGCTATAAGGGTTGAGCAGTTTGGTCTCAACATAGATGGGATCAAAGGCAAAGGAAAATCTTCCTTCACGTAGTCTGTTCACTTTAAATAAGAGAATATTTTCCTTTTGAGTTCTCCCAAAATAAATACCAAGTGAAAAAAAATAGTTATGGAAAATCTTCCAACTTATATTAAATTTTACAATCAGTTTAGTTTTTATTGTATATGTTTCTGATCTGCTTCTACTCTCTTGTCTCTTCTCATCTCCCCCATCTCCCCTCATCTCTGTATTAAGACTGACACCGTAAAGAAGCTCAGACACTAATGCAGTGTCTGGACAGTTCCTTTGTTCTGCTTACGGTTTCATCACTTAGACTGAACTGCAATTTAAGTTTTTTAACAAGTGTTTTCCAACTTGTTGAGAAACGGTGCTCCTACATACTGTGCTGTGCTGTTAGTGACCGTATAGTGACATGGCAAATGAAGTTGTAGCTTGTCATTGCTTATTGTGCTTCTCATGTGCTTCATGTTCTAATTGTGCTTCATGGTCTCCCACTGATATGAATACCAGGCAACAAGTTTGGTATGCTATTTTTAATTGGTCAGGAAACAGATATGCTGAAAAATGTGTGCGCAGATGATAAAGACAATAAGATCAAGAAAAGGGCTTTTCTACGTAAGTGTTTTGTTAGAACACTAAGGATCATCATGTATGCGTTTCCCTGAAAGCACCTAAAATCTGATTTTCTTGCTTTCAATTTTTTTGTTATCCCTGTGGTTAATTCAACAGACATCGCTGCCAGTAGTGTTTTCTTTTTTTACAAGATCACATAAAAGATTTAGTTTGGTGTGGAATACGCTCCAAAATAAGCCTGTGAGGAATATGGAGGAAAAATACATTTAAAAAAAACTGATTAAATTGAGTGCATGCAGCTGATCTTTGGACACCTGAATGTGGAGTCTAAAAATCTCTCTCAGATTTTACTGTATATTCTTTGGTTAATTTAAGCTTTGTGGAAAGTTTAGAGTGACATAGTTATTTGTCATTACTTCATTGTGTAATTAAAAATTCCTAGTAGCAGGCATGGGTACAGCTCCGAGTTAAATCAGGTTTAGCAGCAAACTGTAAACCTTCTACTACCAGTCCCAGCCATGACCAGCATGAACTCTGGGTGAGAATGCCAAGATGCCCATAGAAAGTTGAGCATCCTGTAACTCCTCACACAGTTGCTGTGTTATCTTGTCATGTGGATCTTTTAAAGGATCGCATTAAATGTATTCCCCCCTCCACCTCCTCCTTTTTCTGTGTATTTTTGCCTGTTTAATCTTTCTGAGTTGGATCCTTCTTTATGATTAGCAGTTCCTAATTTCTGGCAATCCTACACTTTCATCTTTCCTGTATGCTTTATCTAATCATATATGACAGCAGGTACCATGACCTCCTAAAAATGGTACAAACCAAGCAGCTTTTGCATTGATTTATATCCTACTAGGTGCTTTCCTGTCCTTCATGGGAGCTTTTTGTTTGCTCTTGGAGTGACACAGGTTCAGACACTCACAAGTGTGTGTCTCTGTCAAGAGTGAGTGAGTGACACGTGGCTATGTTCTTAATGTAACTTGTTTTAGGAACGTGAGGCTGGGTGGGACTGTATGGACCGTCACATCTTGTCCCCAGTCTCAGGCCGCCAGAAGAGGGGCTGCCTGGATCAGCTGATTGAGGGGGGTGGGCCAGTTTTCCAGGCCCAGGCAGAGTCCTGTGAGGGCTCATCCCGGACCTTGGTCTTGGTTTCATCACGTCACCACAATCCTGTGTCTGAGAGGATGAGCTGTGTTTCTCAGCATGGCTGCCTAGCTGACAACAAGTCTGTACTCGTGCAGCTGCAGTCTCAACTTAGCAGTTGCGGGATGCTGACCTATATTGTGCTCCATTTTGCATGAAAATATGTCCTGATTACAACTGCTCTGCTTTTTGTTGCTGCCTTAGTGATGCTGTTGACTGCACAGAACTTGACTTTGCTTCAGCATGATTAAGGCTCTGTAATGTTTTGGTCTGGCAAGTATCTCAAGTATCTTCCAGGTGTAGGATTACTATGAGTCTCAAAGCAATGAAATCAGTTAAGCTTAATACAAGTGTAAGAATACCAATATATTCTCTGATGTTTCATATAAGGATAAGCTCATCTAGCATTCTGTCAGTTAAATCTTAATCTTTACCAGCCTGACTGTTTTCATTACATTTGTTGTGGGAGACCTCTAACTCTGAAATCCAACATTGGACTTTGTCATGATGAGAGGGGAAATAGGCACATATGTCTAAAAAGGCTTAAAAATATAAATATACATATATATTTGAAAACTGTCTGGACATGTGAGATGACTGGAGTGATGCCTCAGTGTAAAGACAGTGATGATTAGGGATTGAGGGATCAGACAAGAATTTTAAGTGCTTTGAAACTTGAATGAGAAGCAAGAGATAAGAATTGGGGCTGGCACCGATGGGACTTCAAAATCTTGTGCAAAGACTGTCATCTGTGTGGTTTTTTGGAATGGACTGTAGTTGCAAGCTTCTGAACTTGCCTCTTCATCTACTTCAGTGTCACTCAGTTGTCTTTGGTGGTCTGAGACTCTGTTAGTTTCCATATCTGTCCATCTCTTGCCCAGCAATTCTCGTATATCCAGCCAATCTCAAACTAGTGTTATCCCTTGAGTTCAGCTCTGCCTCCCATTTATCAACTGCCTCAAGATCTCCTCAGCTCATGTCTTTTGTAATTTCTGCTCTTAGATTATCCTTAAACTCTTTCAGCCATAACCCCCTTGCTGTAGATTATTTGCTGTGCTTCTCTGAACTGCCTTGTTCTGCTCCTACTCCATTCCTGAGAAAAGAGCCTGTTTCCAAGACCACAGGGAATAAGCTTAGCCCCTTTCCCAGAGCACTGCTGCTAAACCCGAAACAAGTACAAAACAACGATTGTGTTTAGGAGCGGAGGAGCACTAATAAAAGTAATTTGAGACTATTCCTGCTTTTTTTTTGCTGAATGGCACATACAAAATGTGTTTTTCTTTTGTTGACTTCTGAAATACGGGTTTTCCTGGCAACTGGGGGATGGTGACTAAGGTGTAGACTTCTTTTATTTGCTTTCACTTTTTTGAAGACTTTGGTGCATATGCAACCAGTTCGCTTGCATGTGGTGCCAGGCAGGGGTTCAGCACCTGTGTTGCTGCTTTTTCTCTCCCCACTTGAGGGAGAGGGTAATTAAGACTGCTAAGCTCACCCTGTGGTGCTCTGCAGTGAGGCTGATGATAGGAATCGAATCAGCTCCACTCTGCTAAATAGCAGGAAATCCAGGACTGCTAGGGGCTTCAGGTGGGAGAAATGACAGAAACCTGGAGGGAGTTTTGCCTTCTTCTCCATGAGACATGCACAAAAACTATGAAACTTACGAAAACTCTGTACTGCTGAAACTTAACAAATGGCACACTTCTGATCTCAGTAATAGAGTATGTGGCCTTGTGTGAACCTCCAAGAAGTTTCTGTTCTGCATTACACAACACACATGTCACAAATTGCCCAAAGTGGCTGATACCTTTCATCTAAAGAGATGAAATAAAGGGAAGACTATTGGGGTATCCTGGAGGAGAATTTTCTTTCACGCCAGAAGCAGGTTGAGAACCTCTGAAAACAAGTGCTGAAGGAGAGAGTGTTTTATCTGATGCTTTGTACTGTTTGTGTTGTTTATGGGCAATGAAGAATGAATGTTCTCTAATGACTGAGGCCATGGCAGTCATTCTCTTATGAACTGGGTGATAGGGAGATGAGATATATTTTGTTTCCTCTGAATATATTATGCCAACTGGGTGTTAAAAGCATTTATGTATGCACTTAGCTGAGTTATCATACATTCTCATACTGATCTTTGATAGTCAGATGAAGGAAGTAACAGAAGGTAAGAGATGACACCTCACAGTTTTACATGAGGAACCAAGGTACGCTTCTCAAGACATTTGGACATGTTCAAACAGTAGGTATGGTGATTGCTTCCTCAAACTATGTTCATCTGTAAGGTTCTCAAACTGCTACAAACAGTATTTTTAAAAGAAAATTGGGCTGCGAAATATACTTGCTATACAGCTCAGTGTAGTATTGTCACTGTCCCATCAGTGATCCACACATTAATTAACTTTCTTATTTTGAAAGGCAAAAATGAGTTATCATACATTCTCATACTGATCTTTGATAGTCAGATGAAGGAAGTAACAGAAGGTAAGAGGTGACACCTCACAGTTTTACATGAGGAACCAAGGTACGCTTCTCAAGACATTTGGACATGTTCAAACAGTAGGTATGGTGATTGCTTCCTCAAACTATGTTCATCTGTAAGGTTCTCAAACTGCTACAAACAGTATTTTTAAAAGAAAATTTGGCTGCGAAATATACTTGCTATACAGCTCAGTGTAGTATTGTCACTGTCCCATCAGTGATCCACATTAATTAACTTTCTTATTTTGAAAGGCAAAAATTATTTTATTTTTTTCTATTAAAGTTGGGGAGGTTCCCATTCATGGATTAGTAGGAACCAAGGTGATTGCTTTCTTGGTGGGATTGCTGCTTTTGTATATTAGTTCATTTTGTACAGCATTTCTCATCTGACATGGGCAGTAGCTTTCCAGAACCAAAGAAACAGGATCCAAATGACCTTTTGCAGGAAAATATATATATATATTTATTTATTTTAGTAAACGAACATTAAATAGACCATTTATTTTTGGAGAATGTCAGTATCATGGGTGAAATGATTGATAATAGTTATCTTGACCTTTTTACTTCAAGGCCTGTTGGAAACACAGTCTTTGCATGAAGCAGATGAAGATGTGGTCACTGATGTCGACTTCACCAGTATGATTTCTGAAGAAGAGAAAGAAGAGTTAAAGACTGAGCTAGCTAAGGTAATGATTTTGAATCTCTGTAGCTGTTAATTCTTCTACTTTCTGAAAAGGGAGGTACTAATTATATGAAGTTCATATCATAAAAGCATGCTTTTTATTTTAATAAAGTTATTCTATGCTGTGTTTAGGTAAAATGATTCATTTCCTTAGATATTTTTGGAAGGTAAATCATCTTTTTTTGTGGATCATAAAGTTAAATATGCCATTTTAGTCAACAAATGCCAGTTGTTTTTATTTGTAAACTTTTAATTTATGAAGAATGAAATCTATTCTTCCTTTTGGATCAATAGAATTGTGCTGCTGTGGTGTGACTCCTGATCAAAAAGATTTTGTATGATGCTCAAAGGAAAAGCTATTGATGATGTCAGAAGAGTGATGATGGCAAACACAATTTTGCTGTAATTTTGCTTACTTTTAGCACTGATATATTTAGAAAGGGTTATGTTTTTGTTCTGTTTTCTTACAAGTGAAAAACTTCACAGCATGCCATAACTTTTCAGAATACCATGAAGAGGTTTAAAAAGTAATAATTAACAACAACAACTTGGGAGGAAAGAAGCCTGAATGAACTGTGTGGTCTTTTTAAGGAACTTGTTTCAATTGGGCCTGCAGTGCAAGAGTGGATTTAATTTTTTTTTTTTTTTTAGTTCTGCTAAAGACTGCAAAAAAAGCAGTGAAGTTTCTAGTAGGAAAGGATGAATAAGAATAATTAGATTTAATTATTTTAAAGATAAAAAGATTTAATTCTTTTAAATAAGAGAGAATAAAATGAAGATTTAATTATTTTAAGTAAGAGAGAAATAACAGAAGTCACAGTTGTATAAGGCAAGAGGACATTTAACTTGATTGAAATAAAGAATGGTTAAAACAATAGATTGGAAATGTCATATAACAAAAGTACAGTCAGTCAAGTTGAATGGTAGGAAGTTGAAAAGTTTGGAACCATGAGCATATGCCCCCAAAATGTAAACTGTCTAGGGAAAAAACATTCCCTCCTAAATCCATTCTTCCTCAGTGCTCTGTGAAGCATCTGCTGCTGTGAAATAGACTCATGCAGAGAACGATTCTTTTGCAGAGATTAATCCATCTCCTTCCTATAACAAAATATTTAATGGTAAGTAATGATATTAAATACTATTAATGAGAGTCATATTCTTAATAACTTTCAAGTCATTCAACTTAAATGCTGGTTTACAATTTCCTATGAGACAAAAAAAAAAGGGATTTTTAAAATTTCATTTTAATGTTGTTATCAAGTCTGATTTTTCTGTTATGTATGTCCCTTGTTCTTTCTTTGATGATTTTGTTACTTTGGTAATCAGCAAGAGGGAAGCTTGCTTTATGTATTCAGCTCATCACATAGCAGCTCAGCATATAGCAATAAGACTGGAATTGTCACATTTATCATTGGATTTTCCTCCCTGATCCGTTGTTGTTTTCTGCACGCTTTTCTGGTGAAACGGACTTGAGAGTAATGTGAGGAGCTAATAAAGAGATTGGAAAATCAGCCCTTTCCAAGGCAGCTGATCCATGAGTTTCTGGACATCCTGTCTGCTTGCTGGTTCTTGTGGGACTTGAGTCTTCTCAATGGCTTGTGGTAAACATATTTAATTTATCTACCAAAAGCAATAAAAAACGAGAGATTGCCTTTCAAATATTATGATCTTAACTGATCTCTAAATTACCTCCCATATTGCTCACAGCAATTTATTGGTGTACAGCTTGCCCTTGGACAACAAAACAAAGTTGATAATTATTCTTAGAAAGCTCTGGAAAATTTGAATAAGGAGCAAGCTAATTGTAGTCCAGTAGCTTGACACAAGGTCAGAAGCAGATTTTCTTTTCTTTCTTTTTATCCCTCAGTGGGGTGGGGTGGTACACTCTCCTGAGTCCAGGGCTGAGGTTTTCTGGCTATCCCAGGCACTGCCATCTGTTGTCCTTCCGTTCTCCCCATCAAAGTATTCATTTACTCCCTGTTGTCTTCTCCCTCCTGTAACCTTCACCAAAGTAGCTCTCTGATTTGGCCTACAGGTTTCCCAGCTGGTCCAGACACTCTAATTTCAGTTGTGAGTGTTACTGCATATTTATCCTCAATGTGAGGAAAGATACGAGTGCATGTTTCTTCAAATTTATGGGTAATTTTATTTATGAGCATCCTTGGTGTCACTGGGAGATGCTCACCCAAGTAAACTTACATATCAATAGCCATTGAGACTAGAGATTCAGATTTTGAGCTACAAGGTCTACAAGGCTAAAATGCCTGTTATATTTTTTGCACTGGACTGTTCTATTAACAGTTTACTACTTTGTCTGAAAAAAAACCAGTAAGATACTATATTAGGTACTCCCATTTTCTTACAAATATTCTTAGGTGTGTTGGTATACATATTGCACTACTGAGCAATTTTGAAGGAGTAACTATTGGGCCGCAATAATCAGCCAATGGACTGGCTTCATTAAGAAGCAAGTCTAATCAGCCAATGGACTGGCTTCATTAACAAGGAATTTTTCTGTAAGCCCACTGTAGGAACAGCACAGTGAAGATACAGACTTGTTTATTCGAAAGATATAAAGCAAGAGGTAATTTTCTTGCTCACAAACTACTTTCGGTTATTGTGTATTCCCTCAGAGTTGCTGTTCTTTTGTTATAAGCACCCTACCAGTGATATAGCTGGTCCTTCGTTTTTTTGTCTCTTTCTCCCCAGTTTTTCTTATAGGCTCTATCCACGCAGCAAAGCAGAGGTTCAGTCCTGCCCAGAGAAGCAGATCGGTGCTGCTGGCAGTCCAGCTGCCGCAGTAGCAAACGTGATGATGAAGAGGTTTCACCCAGTGCCGGGTTTCACCTGGGGACTTGAAGCCTTAGTTCTGTGATGAGAGAGGCTTTATGGCAGTCTCTTTCAGACTTTGTGCCCCTTCCTGCGTATGCTCGCCTCCAGCATTGCTGGCTTAACCCGCTTTTTATTTCTTCATACAGTACCTGGGGAAGCTTGTCCCTCAGCTTGTTAATGCTCAGAAACAGCCTTGCCTGCCTTGAGTGCGGCAGTGGTTTGTGCCTCTGGCTCTACACGTTCAACCAGCAAGCTGCTTGTGCTGGTTTAGTTGGTCCTGCCTTCCTTTCCTCTCCACCTCCCGCCCTTGTTCCTGCTCCCTGTGCTGGGCCGGCACAGGCGTCTGGGTAGCGCTCAGCACTGCCTCTAGGAACTGATCTGTATGAAAATTTTGTTGTTTTACTGCTTTTTATCTGGTTCAGTTTTCCCTGACCAGATGGGCTGCACAAACAGCTAGCCCAGGACACTATGCACTGGGTGATGTAGTGCAGAAAAAAAAAAGTTACTTAAATTTAGAAATAACAGAATCGGCTATACTGTCTTCTGTCTTCAGCTGGAACTCTGTAATGTTTTAGTTACCTACTACTGTGATTCTTGAAAGTTACCTAATGAATATTCAACCTAGCATTCAGCCTTTCTTCGGTGAATATTCTAAATGTTATTGGAGTTTTTTTCTCTTTCATATTTTAAATAATACTGTATGTTTCAGAGTAAGGATAATACAAATTTACATATTTTTTTAAGTACTACTTTATCCAAAATGATCAATTTCACTGCATAGATATTCCAACTAGTTTGTTCTCTTAGTTGTCTATGAATGTCTGCCTAGAGAAATGGGAAAAAATACATGTTGGATGTTTACTGTTTGTTTAAGGCATGCCACCAATTGAAAAGATACTGAACCCCTTAACTCATAATTTGTCCTAAAATCATCAAACAGAAGCAAATCAGGGGAAAACACTTTATTTGCATTTGTATGCTGGGCTAACTGGGATTCTCTTCTAGTATCAGCTCTTCTTCCTACTTTTATGGGTCCCATGTAGTAACAGAGAAAAGAAGAAACCTCTGATTATAAAGTCTGCAAAATGCAGGAGCTTTGTCCCTATTTGTTGTCCTTCCAGAGGAGGGAAAAATGAAGACTTGAAAGCTTGTATTTCTGTTGACCTAAGCTCTACTTTCATGAGGGAGTCTGCGATTGTAATGATGAACTCTTCAAAAATCCCTAAGCAGGTGATGCGGACTTCCATGGGGGCCAGGGCTGTAACCTGCTTAAATGATTTTAGAGATCGCACTCTAAGTCCCCAACCTATTCTGCCTACATTCAGTCTTCAGTCGCCTGTATCTGAACACTTTAGGGATACTTTGTGCCTACCATTATTTTACAAAGACAGAATTTGAGGAGGAGGAGGATGTCAGTTCAAATCCAGAGTCTGTTCCCTAAAGAAAAACAACTTACTATCTTTAATATGGTCAAAAATGCTGTTCATATCTAAGCCACTGAGTACAGGGTTAATGCTTGCTTAGGGCTTTGCAGCTTTAGGTGTCTATTCAACTGAACAGATGGAAAGTAATTGTAATAGAAGCCTTTGAATCTTCACATATCCAGGTACATAATGATCAGCCTACTGCTAGCCCATATGGAAAGCAATAATGCTTAAGTACCTGTAAGCATGCTGGTATTGGTTTAAATTAAATTCTTTAATCGTATTACCAAAGCAAATTTGTGCACTAAGAGGTTTGCTGTGGTTAGGAGATAGTTAAAGGGAATTCTATACTTGGTCATCCAAGGAGTGCTGAAATTTGTGATTTCTTCTTTCTGTGTTCACAGAGTTACCCTCTCAGACACCACAGTGTTCCACTTCCCTGTTAAGGGTATGATGGGGCGTTAAGGATATGGGGGAAGAATAAAGTAGTTTAGGATCGCTGTGTATTCTAGTGCTGAAGTGTTGGCATCACGGAAATCGGTGGATACCTGAGGTCATGATTTTGCTTTGTGTTCATAGTCTTGCTGCTTAATTCCTGAGCTGTTTGAATAATTTAGATAGCCTGTTCCAGTGACAAAGGAGAAGCTGAGAGGTGGAAGATTAAACAGCAAGACATTTCAAAGAAAAACAAACTTGCAGCCAGTTTTACGGGGAAACAGAACGAAGGAGTGTGCAAGATAAAAATAATGCTGACCTCCTAAATATAGCCCTGGAGGTCAGCAAATGATTCGGCTGGTGCTTGCCTCGTGGTCAGCCACCTACGGAGTTAAACCACAGTAAGGCCGTCATTCCAGGGAGCTTGACATATGGTAATCAGACACGTTAACATATGTTATCCTACTAACATACGGAGAAGGGCACACAGTTAATAAGGGAACTTCTGAACGTGAAGTGCAAGGCAGCCGCGCTCGTGTCGCTCGCCCTCGTTGGCCTCAGCAGCGCTGAGTGCGGCCTGTGCGGCCAACTCAGCGCTCCTTGCATGGAGCTCAACCCCATGCCCGCAGGATGCATCCCATGGGGAAGGCTGCAGAGCCCAGGGCAGACAACTCTGTGGTCCCTTCTCATAGCCAAGGGTTCTGCCCAATGCTTTGATGAAGCAACGTTTTGGTTTAAATATACTTGAAATAACGCCCATTGTGGGCAGAGCAACAGCCTTGAGTTTGGGCTAACTTGAATTTGTGCAGTGGGGTTAGGAAGCGGGGGCTCTGGGAAGACTGAGCCGCTGAGTCTGTTGGATGCTTCCCTCCTTTAGGTAGGATCTCACGTTCCCTCAGGTTAAAAGTTCTTTTCCTATATATTTTTGTTTTAGTATTTCGGAATGCATAGGGCCTACAGCACAGTAGTAAAACTCTTGTGATGAGGACTTTTTTATGAGTGGAAGACTAAAGAGCTGTAAATATATACTTAAAAATCTGTCTGGATTGTCTAGTCTTCTCTTGTTCTGCCGATTCCCATTTTTATCTGTGAATGAAAAACTGGTGTTTGAGTATCTCTGAAGTCCTAATGTAGATGATATCAAGTGCATGTGCATGCACAGAAATGGCAGAGAGACATTATTTATAGTAGAATGGTAATATCAACCGTGTTCCAGATACATCTTTGGGATCTCCACAAGCACTTACATCTCTTTCTGTCTCTAGACACGTATGAAAAATGCAAGTTCACATAATGCTCATTCCACCTCTTAACATAGTTTCTCTTTTGTGGAGCAACTAACCCCTTTCTTCTTTCTCCTCCTTCTTGTTTCTTTTGCTCAGCTAGAGGATGAAATCTCAACTTTGCGGCAAGTATTAGCAGCCAAAGAAAAGCACCTGGTGGAAATTAAACAAAAACTTGGCATAAGTCTGATGAATGAACTGAAGCAGAACTTTAGCAAAAGCTGGCATGATATGCAGACAACTTCTGCGTGAGTACAGACCTTGCACAAATTTTCTCGTATCTTGTGTAGCGTGTTGGTGGTGTTGACTTGATGAGCCCTCATGTGAAACTTAGCTGTTGAAATACCTGCCTTGCTTTGCAAATCACTAAAGCCTGTCATGGCCTCTGCTTAGCACTAGGCAGAATGGTTGACCAGCTCACAAGAGTTCAGTGAAACTTGGCTTGTTCATGAAAGCAGCTCCGGGTTCCCTCAATGCAAACTGATTTAGAAGTGCAAAAAACTGATACACCACTTTTCAGTGCAAAGATGAGCATGTAAATTTTGATGGTGGTAGTAGAGTTGTTGTTGAAAAGGCTTTAATTTTGATTTTTTTTTTCTTTTCTAGAAACAAACCAATTATACTGTGGTAGTCTGTAGTCTAACCAGTTGCTGCCTTCTAGGAAGGTGCTTCTAAAAATGCCCTGATTGTTTGGGGAGCACAGTTTTCATTTGGGTTGCAGCTTGCTACTAAGCACTGCTAATGTCAACCTTTTGTCTTGCATTGGAAAGGAATTAAAAATGCATGTTTAAAAATAATAGTAAGACCTACCCCAATCTGCCACAAAACATGTTCCAACCCAGGGCATATAACGCTTCCTCTAAGCTTCAAACTTGCTTTGCATCTGGAGTGTAAAAAGCTGGTGAAAAATGAGAGCGTCACAGAGAGATGACAAATAGCCATGAATTCCAAGCTCTAGAAAGTCCATGGAAGTCCATACTGAGCTGTATGCTCAAATGTATGGACACACTATATTGCCGTAAAAGGTCTTGGGCTAAACCAATAGCAGCATTGGTAGAAAGGAGAACCAACCTGCAAGATACCAGCAAAATTCCATTTTTAGTTGAAATTTAGTAGCACAGTCTAAGGCAGCTTTCCATTCTTCCTTCACATCTTCCCCAAGGATAAAGAGACTTGAGATTTTAACAGCAGAGTTAAAAGGCTATTTAAGATGAGTTTCAAAAACAGCAGGCCATTAGGCTTTCTGTGTCCACAGTTAATTTGGGTCTAAGCACAAAGAGTTCATTTGTGCCCTCACAAATCCTGTTGTGTATGGTTGAAGTGTGTAAGATGCTCTGTAATTCTGACTGGTACTTGATGATGCCAGTGTGAATTGTATAAATTCAGCAATATTGAGAATGGATGTGTTAAGTGATAGAGGTGATTCATTGCTGTTGCATTGAAATAGCGACGTGATAGCGGAGCTCACCAAGATTCTCTGGTTTAGTAAGAATGAAAAGCCTGTACTAAAAATTAAGTTCAAAATATTTACATGAGTGAAGTTTCAATTCCTATATCCACAATTAGTCACTTTAATTTAAAAAATAGCCTGACTTTAAGTAGGCAAATTTTGCTTTTACCGAGTCTTACAGTGCTTTACAAATGCTGTGCTTTTTTGGAAATTAAAGCCACTTTTCTTTAAGGAGGAGATTTTTGAAGCCACAAAGAACAATTAAGCATCAGATTGTTCTCTTGTTATTAATAGTCTTTCCAGCTCTCAATTTTTGATGGATTCTTGAGGCTATAAAAGACGTACAGATCGAGGGGTCAGTTTCTCTCACAAGCAGTTACATAGAGTGTGTCTGAACAAGTAGTTAAGACTTGGCACCTAAGTCAAAGTTAGAATAAATATCACCTGGGTATCATTTATTAATAATCTTTTATTACACTAAATGTAAACTTGGGCTTCTGAGTCCTTCTGAGTTTTAAAAGGTTGGCCAGGTAGTTTAGGAATTAGCATAAGATTGCCTGACATGTAAATGTCAATAATTATTCTCAAAGTATTCTGTTATGATTAAAAAGAGGAAAAAAAAAAAAAGTTTTCAGTGTTGCAACCAGAGCAGGAGGTCAGTGGGCTGACGCCCTGCGTAGTGTCAAGATTTCAATAGGTTCAGCATGCAGTGCTGAACAAAGTCTGTTCCATTTCATACTTCAAGGTATGCAAAACCAATTCCCACCACCTCCAGGAAGACATTATAATTGCAACAATAGCATGCTGTTTTTTTGTATCAAATAAGCTTTTTTATCAGCTTAACTTTTTTTTCTAAAGAACCCTGTAATGCTGTTTGTATATTTCAGCTTTGTATGAAATACACCTGGAAGTCATTCACTTATTATGATGACCAAAAGCATAATGCTTTTTTTAAATTGTGTGTTCATTTCCTCTGCTATTCTTCAGTGCACTGATTTTTAGTATAATCTCTGTGTTGGGGGGCTTCTATAGAGTATATCTGTAACTAGAGAGCAAGTGATTGCCTCAAGTTTAATTTTCTTTCATGGTGATGAGGCACTGAGCTTGAATGCCTTCTCCCACACACCTTTTTTTTTTAAAGATTAGGTTTCCAGTGAATAGAGGTGGGTGGATATTCAGTGAGCGCCTAGCAATGCAGGTATTTATCGATAATTTAAATATATATATAGTTCCTATTTAGTTGCTAGAAGCAAGATTGTATTAGTGTTTTTTAAGGTTAGTTACTTTAGGCTAAAGAATCATTAAAAATGTTTGTATTAGTGATGTTTGCAGAAACCATAATTGAATTTTTCTGATTAACATTTTGCTTCTAAGGAAAGGTTTTATGTAACCTGAATGCAATATGTTTACTTAGCTAAGCCTATTTGATCGGTGGTGCTTCAATAAAGTTTCCACCACTCTTCATACAACATAACCCAAAAAGCATATCCTTTCATATATTAGTTTTTCACTGCATAGTACATTAAGGCTTCTGTGAAGAATGCTCTCATCTTAAACAGAGTCGCAAGATAGATAATGTTGGAAGAGACCTCTGGAGATTTAGTCAAGTCCTCTGCTCAAAACAGAGTCAGCTAGAGCAGGTTGCTTGGGACCATGTCCTGCCAGGTTTTGAGTGTCTTCACACGTTATTTTTGGACAACCCATTACAGTGTTCAGTCATCCTTAGAGTCAAACTTTTTCTGTATGAGAATGGCCTTGCCAGGCCAGCAACACTGATGGGTGCATCCCATCATGTCCCATAGACTCATGTATGTCCAGGTTGTTTAAGTGTACCCTGACCTCTTCTACTGGGGTAAGTCATCTTTGTCCCAGACTTCCCAAAGGTCTCAGGGGCCTGAGATTCCCGAGGTGTGTCTTACTGTAAAAGACCAAAGCAAAGGAGTCATTGGGTACCTTATCCTTTTCCATGTAATTTATCTCCAGCTTCCCTGACTCTTTCAGCAGTGGACCACATTTCCCTAGTCCTCCTTGTGCTGTTGCTATGCTTGTATAAGCCTGTCCTGTTGCTCTTCATGTCCCTCACTAAATTCAACCCAAGATGGACTTTGGCTTTCTTAACCCCATCCCTGCATGCTTGAGGGGAGTCTCTCTCTTTCTCCTGGGTCATCTCTATGTGTCTTTACTTCTTATATGTGGCCTTTTTATATTAGAGTTTAGCCAGTAGTTCCTTGTTCATTCATGTAGGCCTCTTGCAACCTTTGCTTGATTTCTTGCCTGTTGGACTATTCTTGACCTTGGACATGATCCTTGAAAAGTAACCAGCTTTCCTGAACCCCTTTTTCTCTCCAGTGCTGTGTTCTTTGGGATCCTTCCAAGCAGATCCCTGAACAGGCCAAAGTCTGAACTCCAAGGTTGTGAGCCTCCTTTTGCCCTCTGTCTTCACAGGAGATCCTGAACTCCATCATCACATGATTGTTGCAGCAAAGGCTACCCCAGAGCTTCAGGTCCTCAGTGAGAGCGTGTAAGGGCGTGCAAGTATGAGGTCTGGCAGATTGTCTCCTCTCAGGAGCAATTCAGTCACCTGTGCTAGGAAGCTGTCACCAATGCATTCCAGGAACCTCCCAGAGAGCTTGTGGTTCAAGTGGTGGCTTGTATCCAAGAAGGCCTTATCTGCTTCTTCCTGATCACAGAGTCTATAGCATGTACCCACCGTAATGTAGGCCTTCCTGCTAATCCTGACCCATAAACTCTCAGCTGACACGTTATCCCTCCTTAGAGAGAGCTCTGTGCCTTCCCACCATGCCGTCATATACAGGGTAGCTCCCCTTCCTCACCATCCTGGGCTGTCGTTTCTAAAGACCTTGTGGCCATCGCAGCATTCCAGTCATGTGAACTATCGCACCATGTCTCCATTAAACAAACTGTAAAGTAATAGTCTTCAATCCAGTTAAAGAATTGCATTGAATTATAAAGGTTAAGGGCACAAGGATAGGATTACATGGATTAACTCCTCCTCGCCAATCTGTCACACAAAGCACTAGGGATACGTTCATGAGATATCTTAACCTTAGGTAAGCACGTATGTCGTCACTATGCCCAGTTCTGTCCCTTAGCTTTCAGTTTGGTGCCCTTCTCTAATAGGGGGCATTATAATGTTGTCTTCATAGTTTTGGGAGTTTCCAAGGATCAGGTATACCCATATATTTCTGTAAAACTACTCGCAAATAACCTCACTGCAGCCTAATAGCTCTCAGAAGTTCCTTTGTTGCTCTTTCTTCTGTTGGAAAACATAGGCCTCTGGTTTAGATAAATAACCTTTCAACCCCCAGACTATAATAAAAATAACTATAGGGATGGCTTCCAAGGAGAAGAAGATTTCTTTTTTTCATACATTTAAAACGGAAAAAAACAGTAAGCACTCCAGACATTCATTGTAAATTCTGCTATGGTCAATAAATCATTAGAACAGTGAAAAACTTAAAGAATTCTCTCCTTGAGAGCTGCAGTAGTGTAATTAAGTGAAATATCTCAAAACCCATATTCTTGGTAATTCCAGGCATGAGGGTCAGGAATGCTTTGACACGATGTAAAGTAGGAACATGCAAGAGTACCAGCTAAGACAGAAATCTCTCAAAGCTCTGTTCCTAGAGTGTCTTCTTGTCTTTTGGTACTCACAGATGCAATTTTTCACATATTGTAGAAACAGGAAATCTCGTTAATTAGTAGCCAGAAACAAGAGATGTCTATGTGCTAGCTCCTAGCAGCATGTCTTCTAGACAGTGCGTGGGGCTTTCTCAG